TTGGGCACGTATACGCACATGCCTGGTGTGATTCTCAAGCTGCCAGGTCTGGGACTTGACCTGGGCTAGCCATGTGGGAGTCCAGGGCCTTAATCATCATGCCCACCTCATTATTATTTTGTATAACACTGCATGAGTGTAAGAAATTACACACACATACACATTTATGTATCATATCACACACACACACACAAATAATACAGATTTAGATATAATATCTACTCAAAATCAGATATATATACCCAACACATTTCCACACTTAATTCATAGGTAGGAGTCTTTAAAAATATTCCAAAGGTACTTGACATTCTAAATTATAACTGTACATCTCTCAGTTTACATCATGGCCATCCATTCTATGAAGCTAGAATGGGAGAATAAGTCACATCACAAGAGAGTGAGCCTACTTAACTTCTTCATGTCTGTGTCTCATTCAGCTTTGCTAATCTTTAGATATTATGCAATTGCAGTTAATCCTCAAACCAAATTCCCTTTTTTTACGTATGAGTCAATTGTGTGCCAGGGCAGTGGTGGTAGTTAAGACCCTTTCAGTCACTGATGACAGAACCACTACTCAAGCTAGTGTAGGCAAAATGGGCACTCATTAGCTCACGTAACTGGGAAACTAGGTTGGTACAGCTTTAGGCACAGCTGGCTTCTGCTGTGTTGCTTTAGTACAAATCAATCTTGAGTTCTTTTTCTTCGCAACTTTTTGGGTAAAACAAAACAAAAACAACTCATCACAGAGAGGTTAATAACTTGCAAGAGAGGTAGAATTAGGTGTCATGTGCAGAAAGCATGACTTAGAACATGTGCACCTAGCTACCCTACTATATCACTTCTTGGTGCAAGCAGATGCAGTTACATTCTGAACAGAGAGCTCCCATCATGGAGTGAGTTCTGAGTACACAAAATGAGAGGGGCAACAATGGTGACAGACTGTCAAACTATGTTCACAGAGTTTTTATTTTTCTTTTTGGAGCTTTGTTTCCCTCTGAATATTTACTTCATTCAAAGATAGACCTATGGGGGAAGAAATATATGAACGTCCAGCCCCATAGATTAAGATCCAAAAGGAAGAGCACCTTTCATGTCCCCACGTGTATGTGTATAAATGGCTGTGAGGTGCATCATGATTGTTGACTTGGTCTGAGCCATGTGCTGACGCTGCAGAAAACACCATATCAGTTAGGCTTATGTTTTCTATAAGTAACAAGGATTCAAAATAACAGTGACTTAATATAGACATCATTTTCTTTCTCTGGCATGTATCTTTCTCTAGATAATCCAAGTACAGCAGCATGGCTCCATGTGATTTTCAGATATCCAAATACTTCGTCATGTTTTGATCTACTTTTTCCCCAGGGTCACCCTACTGCCCCAGGTGGCAGCTTCCTTTCCAGCCATCATGTTCTTTTATTAATCATTAGGACAGAGAAGGGACTAGGGATGTGTGCACAAAGGCTTTTAGGAAAGGTTCCTAGAAGATGATATGAATCCTTTCTGCTTTCATTCCATTGGCCAGAGTTTAGTCACACAGGGTCACCTACCAGCAAGGCAAGTGGGAGAGTGTAAACTATATTCTAGGAAGACATTTGGCCAGCTAAGACTTAGGGATTCTATTATTGAGAAACAAGCGAGAATGGAGGTTGTCGGCCATTTTTCAATGGGGCTGATTATTTGAACACCTCCCTGTGACCCATTCTCCTCATGATTACCTCTTGATCTTGTTTTTTTCTGCCTTCTTTTTATTTTCTTGACCAGATAGAAATCTTTAATCATTACTGATGATTTTCACTGAACTGGTGAGTCACACATGGGTCAAATTATCCTAAAGCCCCAAGGGGAGCTATGACCCATATGTGGCCATGTCTCAATCCATTCTGAGATTCTGGAACTAGACCTTGGCAAAATTGCAGAAGGCACAGAAGGGTAGATCTTGTCTTAACTCCTAATTCACTGTCAGTGCCATCTCTTACATATACTTACAAGTGTGCACACACACACATACACATGCACACACAAACCCTATTGGGTAGCCCTACCCATCTCAAATCTTTTCTGTCATTTTCTTTCACATTAGCACTCAGTAGAGGTCACCAACACCTCACCCCACTGTTTCTCATCACCAACATAGGAGGAGCATTTCTTATTTTCACCTAAATTCCACATCCCATACTGTCTAGAGATGATGAAATGCTTATTTCTCTAACATTCTTTCCATCACATATGCCCACTTCCTCATCACCATCCAACACTTTAAAATAATAAAGTATGTTTTAGTCTTTCTAGATTGAAGGCTTTGGACTCAAAGAAAAGCTGAAAACCATGTCTAACCTGTGATGAGCCAGGTTATTCATCAATCAATAGAGATGATCATCATTCACCAAGAGATGAACTTAGCAAGCAAGGTCCTTATGGACATCTATAAGAAAATACCAAAAAGTTTACCTTCTGTCTGGTATGTCTTTACTATTATTTTGACCTAGCAGTGTTCATTTACAATACTAGATCAAAATATTAGTTAGCCTTGAAATTTGGGCTTCTGCTTTCCCCAGAGAGAAACTCATGTGTACAGGAAATTTTGACCTTGGTTTGGGATGGAGCCTCTCCCTCTCAGCTGGATCCCAAATCTAAACCAGGCTTGGCCCTGAGCACATTGCTTTTACTAAAGCAAAAGGAAAACAACAACTGCAGCACAATGCCTGGAGCTCACTTGTGAGGAATGACTTTCTCCAGGCCTAACTGTGAAGTCAGTTGTGGGTTGGCAGGACTATGAAGGACACAGAAACAAAATTGGAGTCTATTTCCAATGTGGTCTTTGGAGTTATATGACTGGGTTGGTGGCTGGATAACTTCCTATTTAGTCTGAAAATTTGACAGCAATGCTTGCATACATTTTTAACTCTAAAATATGCTCATATCCATTATCCCATTTTACTACTCTGCAGTGCTGTAGGTGGTAAGGTCTGGAGGAGAAATTAGTTGTCTATTATTTCCATTTAATAGACGGTCAAACTAAAACCAAGAGTTCAAATAATTTGTTACTAAAAATTCCATGGCCCACCGATTCTTGACTTTCAGATACATTTTCTATATACTAAGAGCAATGGTTCTCGAAGTGTGTGTTAGAGGTTGGAGAGAGGGACCTATAGGGTGCGGCCAGCAGCAGTAACCTGGGAACCTGCCAGAAATGTCAGTTCGTAGACCTCCCACCCCAGATCTACAAAACCAGAAACTCTTTTTTTTTTTTTTTTCGGAGAGGTTTTCACTATAGGGCGCTTGCGCTCGCCAGACAGACAGAGAGAGACATAGAGACAGAAAAGCGAGAAATCACCCCCCAGGGGGGGATGGTCATGCCGCAATCCCTTCTCCTCCATTCTCCTCTCAGGATCTTGGGCACGCACACACAAGCTCCCGGCATGAGTTTAAGCCACCGGGTCCGGGACATGAACCGCTGTTGACTACGTGGGAATCCAGTGACATAGCCATTACGCTAACTGCTGGTTCCCAGAACCAGAAACTCTTGAGGGTGAGGCCCTACAACATGTTTTAGCCAGCCCTTGGAGGAACATTGATTCACCTCAAGCTGAGAGTCATTGTCTCAGGTGTTCCTGTTTACTCAAACTACAAACTGTTCTCCCATCTTTGTGTTAAGGGATTCTTCTTAATCCTTCATGTTTGTTTCCAGTGCATTTTAACTCCACGTGATTGCCATAAAGTCTCTACTTAGGAAGGCTAGGAACCTAAAGCATGGACCACTCAGGCTCCTTGGAACATTTTTCTCTTATTAAACATCTGGAACTCACTGTTTTCTTACTGAGAATGGGAACTTCAGTTTTCCTTGTCACTTGCTCTACCTCAGAACTTTCTCATTCCAGCTAGATTTTTTTCTAGTTAGTAACTATGGAGGAAAATTATATCTAAAAAAAAGTTATTTGATATACTCTCCTACCTGATACCTTCAGTTTTCTAATACAATTTTATATATAAAAAGCAATATGAAATATACTTTAAAACTTAAAAAGATCCGAGAAAGAGCTTTAGGGCACCCCACTCTACAACACATATACTGACACCCATATTTACATAAAATGTTGGGCCTTCGGAAGGTACTAACTAAATATTTATTGAATTTACTAAAGATTTTTCTTTAGAGTCAGAGAAGGAGAAAAATAAGTTTGATAAATCTGTGCTTCCCAGAAGCATCTTCATTTGAAATCGTTTAAGAAAATCATAAAAGAATACATATGTGATGAAAAAATGAGTATTAGATTCTAATTTACCCACATAAAGATTTCATCATATATTACTGATCTGAAATAGAAGTGAGTTTTTGGGACCAGCAGTTAGCGTAATGGCTATGTTGCTGGACTCCCATGTAATCAACCGTGGTTCGCGTCTCGGACCCAATGGCTTAAAACTCACACCGGGCGCGTGTGCGTGCGTGCCCAAGATCCCAAGAGGAGAATGGAGGAGAAGGGATTGTGGCGTGGCCATCCCCCCTGGGGGGTGATTTCTCGCTTTCTGTCTCTCTGTCTGTCTGTCTCTCTCTCTCTCTCTCTGTCTGGCGAGCGCATGCACCCTATGGCAAAAACCTCAAAAAAAGGAAAAGAAAAGAAAAGAAAAGGAAGAAGCAAAGAGTTTTGGTACAGCTTCATAGCATAGTGGTTATGTGATGTCCACAGGGAGCTGGATTTAACATGACTGACTGCAATTTAAGTCTCAGCCCCAGGGTCTTGAAAAACATGCCAGGCACATGTGTATGTGCACCCAAAATCCTGACAGGAGGGAGAAATGGAGGAAAAAGGATTGAGGCATGACCTTTCTTTCTCTCTTTCTCTCTATGGCAAGCCACATGCCTTCAAGCAATAACAAAGGAATGATAGTTATTGACTCACTTATTAGTTCATTCATTCAATTTTATTGAGTGCCCACAGTGTGCCAGCCAGGAAAGTTCTAGACACCGAGACTAGCATGGTAATGAGGAACATGCCCCTGCCCTCATGGAGCTTACACTCTATGGGAAAGACAGTTGACTAAATAAGCAATTTACAACTAAGTGTCATCAGTATTGTCACAGAACACACTAGATACACTGGGAGCATTTAGTAGGGTAGCAAAATCATCTTGGGACATCAAATGATGAGGGCCACACATAAAGTTAAGGACACTGGTCTTTGACACCTCTATTTAAAACATAGTTGATAAAGAAAAAGCTGCCCCAAACTTCACTGGTCATGGAAGGGAAGATCTGAGTAGAGGAGGTGTTTCTGGGGTCTGGCCAACATCACCAGGCAGGTCACTGCTTTGACCTTTGGAAAAGGATGGAGATGGTAGTGAAGGTCAAGAAGATCACACCAGCTGTGCCTCCAATCATCAGGCCTAGGATACTGCCATGCACCTGCAAGGCCTGGCAGCGCTCACCCGTGTAGAAGAAGGCATGACCAGAAATACACCTGGGAAAACAGGACACAAGGGGAGTGTGGGAACCACCTGAATCTCAGGTGCTTCCTAGCAACAAGCACCATGACAGCAATGATAGCAGCAAGCACTAAGTAGTTCCATGTGGTTGCTCCAATAGTACTATCTGAATCAATTAATTTAATCCTGCATCAATCATCTGAGTTAGAGGTTATTATCAAGCCATTCTCAACAACCTCGTTTTATAGAGAGGTTAAATAATGTTCTCGGTCACGTGGTTAGTGTTTTGCCCTTTAAGTTTAATCCTAAGAGGTGTGTCACCAAGTCTAGTACTTTCTGTCACCAAGGATTCAGAAGTAAGGACAATTAAAGAATGCAATACCTAACACTGTCTAAGACTATAAGACTACAGGGAAATTCCCTTGATAGAGTCTGACATAGAGCACAAGTTGTAGCTTGAAGATGTCTAGATGATATTAATTAAAATGTTACTATAAGGCTAGTGTACTACCACATAGCACACAAGCTGCTCAAGTTCATATGAGGTAATGAGGACACTGTATATAGAGAGCTATTTGGCACATTAGTAGATACATAACAGCCACTTCTTGCTTTTTTTAAAAAAAATGTTATTTGGTATATAGATAAATTAATCTGAGAGTTGAAAGTCATAACATGGAAGAAGAGACTGCCCACTCTGAGTTGGGGATGAGGGGCTACCCCAGCCTTCAAGGACCACCACTCAGTTCCCACAGTCCCAGAGTTAGAGCAAAAAGGAAGTAGAGGCTGCCCAACCTGAGCTGATCACCAACATTTCCCCACTCAGACTAAAGTGGAGGAGGAGGGCCTGCCTCAGCCTTCAAGGAACATTGCCCAGTTCCTGTAATCCCAGAGTAAGAAGGAAAAACAAATAAGCAGGTGTTGCCTGGACTGAGCTGATCCCCAAAGCCCCTTCCAACCTAAAGTGAGGAGAGGAGGGGCTACCCCAGATTTCAAGGACCACCACTCAGTTCCTGCAGTTCCAGAGTTAGAAGGAAAAGGAGAAAAACTACCTTCTGAAAATCTGAACCCAAAATTTCCACTTTGGATACCACACTACCACCCACAGTATAAGAGGGAAACTGGCCCAAAGCTAACTCACACCACAGGGAAGCACACAAGTACACAGCTACAAAAATCTACTCCAAAGTAGTAGGAAGAAGTGACTACATCACCAGATGACTAAAAATCAAAGCATAGTACCAAGAAATATAAGAAAGCCAGGGAGTACCTTGTCCCTTAAATGAACACAATAACTCCTTACCAACAATGAATAAAACACACGAAATCATAGGAATGTCAGAAAGAGAATTCCGAATATTAATTATAACAAAACTCAGTGACATGCAAGAGAAAACAGACAACCAAATATAGGAGATGAGAAAATCTTTCCATGACTTGAAAGAGGAACTCCATAAAAAATTAGATACACTGGGGGCCAGTAGGTGGCATGGTGGCTAAGTGTGCTGGATTCCCACTGGCCAACTATGGTTCAATTCCCAGATTTGGCAGCTTGCTTTCTCACTCTCTCTTTCTCGTTCTCTCTCTCATCAAACTGAAATTTTAAAAAATGAATAAATAATAAGGTTAAATAAATTTATAAAAATGAAAAGAAATAGATACTCTGAAAAAGAATGAAACAAACTTCTTCAGATAAACAATATAATGCAGGAAATCAGAACCTCCTTTGAAAGTATTAACAGCAGATTAAACCATGCAAAAGAAAATATCTCTGATTCTGAAGACAAAACCTCCAATTTAGTTCAAGCACCTGGAAAGAATGGAAAAATAACCATTAAAAATGAGGACAACATATAAGAAATCCTGGACACCATTAAACAGCCAAATATCTATCTACATAGTGGGTATTCCAGAAGGCGAAGAGATAGGTAAAGGCATAGAATATCTCTGTTTTGTACTAGCTAAAAACTTGACAAATGTATAGAGGCATACAGACATCAAAATCCGGGAAATAAAATGGACATCAAATAGAGTTAACATAAGAAGATCCTCTCCAAGGCATATCATAGCCAAACTGGTAAAAATGAAAGAAAATAGTCTTAAAATGGCAAGAGAAAACTCCAAGTTACTTACAAAGTTTACCCCATTGGAATATGATCAAATCTCTCAAACAATGCAAGAAAGAAAGAAAAGAAAGACATATTTAAACTTCTGAAAGAAAAACAATTTTAGCCAAGAATACTATACCCGGTAAAATTATCCTTCAAATGATGAGGGAAAATACAATAATTCCCAGATAAACAAAAGCTGAAAGAAGTCACCAAAACTAAGCCAGCTCTTTAGAAATTACTTAAGGGAATATTAAACCAGAAAAACTAAAGGGAGATAAGTAAGAGAAGTAAGAGAACACAAAACAATTAGAAAAAACAAGTAACAAAATGACAAAAAAGAAGCCCACACATATCAGTAATAACACTGAATATTAATGAATTAAATTCTCCAATTAAAAGACACAGATTGGCTCAATGGGTTAAAAACCCAGAACTTTTAAAATTGCTAACAAGAAACACACCTCATTGAGAAGGACATACATAGAGTGAAAGTGAAGGCCTTGGAAAAGTCATTTCATACCAACAGAAATAATTTTTTTAAATTTTAAAGAAGACTGGACTTGCAAGACTGATGTTAGACAAAATAGACTTTAAGATAAAAATGGTAACAAGAGACAAAAAAGGATACTACAGAGTTCTAAAAGGATTACTTCACCAAGGAGATATATAATACTTATAAATATTTACACACTCAACACCAGGACACTCAAACATATCAAAGAAAGACTGCTTGATATAAGGGGAGATATGGATTGCAATATACTAATTGTTGGGGATTTCAAAACCCAACTGGACAAGTCATTCAGGAAATAAATAAATAAGCAGAAACACAGAAGCTAATTGATACCATAGGCCAAATAAACCTAACAGACATATATAAAACATTTCACTCAGCAACTAAAAATACACTTTTTTTTTCTTATCTCCACATGGAAAAGTTTTGGAGATCGACCACATGATAGGGCACAAAATAAGATTCTACAAATATAAAAGTATAGAAACTATATCCAGCATCTTCTCTTATCACAGTGGAATTCAACTCGAAATCAATCATAGAATGAGATTTAAAGTGGATGAATATGAAAGTCTTAATGCTGAGTGAAATGAGCCAGACTGAAAGACACACTGTGCATCCCTGGCCAATATGTACTAAATGTCAGTACCCTATGGAAGAAATGGAAAGATCCAAAGATATGATAATCCAGAGGTTAGCATAGACACTAGAGACCGACTGTAAGGGAGGGGAGTGAATGGTAGAGGGTGGGTGGAAGGGGCCAAGGGAAGAAATAATGAACAGACAAAAGAATGTGAAGTTCCCTATTAGAAATGACGTATATGGCAATATCCTTGATTTGAGCGTCATGTAGTACATGTATATTTTGAAAAACCATGTTGTAAATTACGAATATGTATAATGTTGTAGTGTAAGTAAAGAAAAATAAAGTGGAAAAAAAAGAAGTATCAGGATAAAAATGAAAATAATCTAAGAACCAAGACATTAATGGTAGTGTGTCCTCCATTCCAATATAAGAATTTCAGCCTTTGTTTCAAATACTCCTATTAACAATATACTCAGCAGAATTCTATAGAGCAGAATTATTGTTAGAATTCTACAAAGCAAAATGAGATAATTAGAAATCAATATTTTTTTAAATTTAACCCTGAGTTACGTTTTAAGAATTTGTCTTTACCCTGGAAATTGATTTCTTCAAAATCAGTATTAGATAAGAGTTTGTTCCATTTTTTGTTTTGTTTAGCTTTTCCTGGTTCAGTCCCTTCCACATGCAGCTTAATTATATTCCCTAGTTTTACCTTAGAAAAACTTCATCAAAAAACTCCAAGCAGAAGGCATGTAGGAGAGGAATGATCTGGCTGATTAGAGGCTGACACACAGTAGCAACCTGTGGCCCTCTTTACCCAGGGAAGATTGAAGCCAGTTGGGCCAAATATTGGAATCTGGCATCCAAAGATCTATCAGGCAAAGAGGTACAGACCCATGACTGTAGATCCCTCAAGAAACAAGGTGAGCATTCTCTAATAAAAGGAAACAGAGGACAGAGGACTCTGGAAAAGTGATTGATTTTAGGGTTGGGCACAAAAGAAAAAAAAAGAGAGAGAGAGAGAGAGAGAGACAAGGAAAAAAGAGAGGAGAGAGAGAGAAGCAAGCAAGCAGTGGGAAAATGGGGGAAATCTGAATAAGATCTGTAGTTTAGTTAATAATATTGCTCATTTGTTGGTTTTGCTAATTGTATTATGGTTGTATACGTGTTAACATTAGAGAAAGCTGGGTGAAGGGTCTAACAGCTCTGTAGTATTTTTGCAATATATCTGTAAGTCTAAAACTATTTCAAAATGAATGTTAAAAAAAGAGGAAACAAAGTGGAGATTGAAAATAACTCAGAGGAAACATAGATCTTTTGATCTAAGCAGAATGGTTTTTATAGCTGCTACTGTTCTGTCAAATGCAAGAAGTGCTTCTGTCATCACACCCTTTTATAAATTTCTTAGGATTTTTATGCAAATAAATGTTTTATTTTTCTTAAAAAAAAAGCTATTAAATTGCGCAAGCTGAGCAGATAGACAGATCTACCTAAATCCCAGCTTCAGCATTTGCATCAGGGTAATTTTAAACAAATTACTTAACTTTAAACTTCAACCTCCATATGCATTAAATGGGATAAGAAGAGCCCTTATGTCACAGGGTGGTAGAGAAGATGTATAATGCTCAGGAAAGCATGTGACACATCACAAACAGCCAAAAGATACCAGATATTATTATTTCTCTTACTGAAGACATAACAATCATAATAGTACCACAGAACTGACAGACTATAGAACTAATAATAATGATGGTAATTAAACATAACATCTTCAGTCACTGATGATGAAGCTTGGCCTGGAGATCCCACTGCAGGACGTCATGGAGTGGAAAATCCATAGAATAAAAACCCTGAGTTATTTGTGAGTCCTCTGGTGGAGACAGAAATTCTAGCATCAAAGATGTTATTGACTCAATCAAGCATACGTGTTATCAACAAATAATTTTCCATTTCTTATGTCTTATATATTTTTCTTTTTCTTTTTTTTTTTTTGCCATCCTTGATGTCCTGTCCCTCACCCTCTGCCGTGACCCACCCTCCTTCCACATCGTCTCTGGTATCCATGGCTGCTTTCTATGCCTCCCCCCCCCACCTTAAAGAATTTTTAATAAAA